ATTCCGCTTTTATTTCACTTTCACGAGATCCGACCATATGGGAAGATTCAGCATATTTTTCCCAACAATATATATATATATATATATATATATATATATATATATATGTGTGTGTGTGTGTGTGTGTTTGTGTGTGTGTGTATATATAAGCTGGTTTATCGAAATACAAGTGGTGTCTTTCACATTGAATAGTGGAAAAGATGGAGAAAGCATCCTATAATGAGATGCTAAATGTGATCAAAGGAAGACAAAAATGTCAAAAAAAGCAACAATTGACAAGAATCCACCAATTTATCTTTATGTCTGTTTGATTAGTGGAGGGGAATTTAATTAGGTGGGAAACTGATAAGGGAAAGTATCTTTCTGTAAGATAGGACGGAAAGGATCAAACAGTGGTGGTGTTGGATTTTGATGCATGATTACTTAAAAACTGCAAAAAACAATTGAATAGTTGGTATAGACACTGTCAACGTTAACTTTTTCACTGGAATAGTAGAACATATTTCTTGTCTGCTCATGCATGTGAAACAATGGTAGGGTCATGTTTAGTATTTTTACACCACCTTAGATGGATATTCATAAGAGGTGTTTAATTTATATATCATCAAAAAGTGCCATCGTTACCGATTCAGACGTTTCATTAAACACAATACTTTTCAAACAACATTTAGGTTAAGTCATACAACTGTAATGTTTTTTTTTTTTTTTAAATATGGTTTATGAAATATTGAAGAGAAGATTTATTTGGGGTTTTTTTTGCATAAATATATTGATAAAAGATTATTGTATTATTTACAAACCTTTTTTATTGATGGATAAAATGTTTGGAATATGATGATTCTCTTGGAGAAGAGGACCACGGCTGATTCATGATAATGACATGCATGGTTATTGTCATTTTCTTTGTTAGAAAATTGAATTCAGTTTACTTAGTTAGGGTATATAGAAGTGGTGGTTTAAGTGATTGACTAGGATGATCCAAGATCTATAAATGGCATTGAAAATTAAATTGTACTTCGTAATGTGTGGTTCAGGGTTGATTATCAAATCGTGGATGCGGTTGATAATAGACTCGTGTTCTAAAAATGAACTTCTCTCTGGATGGTTACTAAATTTAAACCCTCCCAAAATATGAAGTAAAATTTGTATGGAAAAGCCAAAAATGTCAACAAAAAGTTAAAAAGGTAGGTAGGGTTAGCCTCAATTACGGGGAATGAAAAAGTAATGGCCACCACATCATCTTCACAATCTTATGCTTTCACTTCGTGTTTCTTAGGCTTTCGATCCTATTGCTGCACAGTGTTTTCATTCTTAGAAACTTGCACTGTTCATTCTCAGACACAACAGATGATGGAGGGTTTAATCTATATACTAAACTTACACTTTCAATTATCAGAAGTTCTAAGTATGATTTTTATGATGATTGTTGTTGAAGTAATAGTATAAAAAAATGGAACGAAATGCAAAATGAAGAAACATATAATTCACTGCATGCGCTTTTTTTAATGCATTGCCTTTTTTTCCTTTTTGTCCGGGCTAGTCTTGAGGACCTGAAAGTATTCCTATATGATAAATTACAGAATAGTAGTATACATTAAATTAATTATATTTTTACATTTTTAATGTTTGAATATAATATACTTTATCTAAATTATTTATTTATATATATATATATATATATATATATATACAGAACTTTGAGCATTATACTTCTTAATTCATTTTTAAAAATTCATCTGAATTTAAAATATTCATGCAGTGAATAGGTGAGAATGTGAGGAAGCATACAAGAAATTTAGATCGAATAGTAATTCGAAAAGTTTAGTGCCGACTTCCTGTTGTTACTATTGAATTTTGTCAATGTATGAATAAAATAAAAATTATATGCTTTTTTAGTAGTAATAAAAAAAATGCTGTGCACTTTTCAAAGAAAAAAATAATATATATATATATATATATATATATATATATTACTTATTATAAAAAAATTGATGTAAAACTATTTTGGTGTGTTTGTGTGTACTATAATATATTATCAATTTTATTATATGTTGTCCAAGATTATTTAAGAGTTACTTATCGATAAAAAAAATGGTTCTTAATATTTTAAAAATAAGTAAAAAAAAAAAGATTTTGATAATTTAAAATGATAATGTAAATATTGACATTTAAAAGTGTGAAAGAAATAACATTTTTTTTAAATCTGAAACAGTTTTATTATTATATAGTATCACGCGATGATGTTACATGAGTTTTGTTGGTACGTTGAAAAGCAAATAGAGCGTAGCGCAGGAAAGGGCTCATCAGTTCAGCATGCGCATGGACCAGACTACGGTCAAATTTCATTTCATACCTCATTAGTTGTTATGTGAGCAATATTCATAACTCTCTTCCACAAAGCCACACAATTAAAACAGAATAACGGCTACTTGTCCACTAACTACCATTTTGTTAGCACCAACGATACCCATGATTTAAACTGAAATAAATATATAAAACTTTATAAATTTTATGAAAACTTAATTATTACCTTTTAGTTATTCAGTTTATTTTTTTGCTCTTTTATCTTATTTTAGTGTGAAGATAGTGTCTCTTTTTCTTTCCAGTTACATTGTTCAAGTATTTTCTGAGAAACCAATCTGTGGTCAGAGACAAGTATGGCGACATATTTGAGATTTAAAATAACAATGTAGCCCATACATTAAGAATTTCTTTGAAGCAGGGATGAATTTTTCTGAAATATAAAAGAGATTTACAAAACATTCTTGAATAAATAAATTTAAAAAAAAAAAAAAAGAGAGGAAAGGAGAATGGAAGAATGTGACCCAATTGACGACCCTGAATTTTCATCTTTAAAATAAAAAAAATCCACACTTGATTCATGTTTGACCCTGAAAAGCTTAAACTCAGACACTTGGCTTTTTCTTTCTTGGTTTCTTACCCTAATAGAAAGGTGGAGTGGACACCACAATGTCTGTCCTCCGGAGAGCAAAGTATCCCACAAAGATTTTCCACCCTTTTTACACCGCTTGTCCTTTTCACTCGACTCCCTAACCTTCTTTGTCTATCTTCAAAAGTAAAGCTGCTATACTACTACTACCGTCTGCCTTTTCCTTTTCTTTTTTATTTTTTTTTCATGCTCCTGCTTCCTCCTATATCGGTTTTTCCCTGCAACAAATCAAACTTCACGTCAAAATCTTTAACATACAATTCGCATTATACACTACAAGGTTTTCAAATTGACATCATGAACTTGTATACACTTCAAGAATTAGACAAAATGAAAAGAACCATATTGTTTGGAATTTTAATTTTGTAGAACCCTATTGTACATTGGGGTTAGCAAACACAATCATTCGAGAGGTTGAAAGAAAATAAAGGAAAACGTTTGGATTTTTGAGCATCTATTGAACATTCTCCCTTTCTAGGGGACATGTGAGCAGTGACCTAATAGTGAATACCTTTTGTTCAGTTATTTTCTTTTATATTTGTTTTTAAATCTGCTCATGCCTTGTAATGTTGCCTCCATTACACTGTTCCCTTAATAGTCAGAATTCCCCGAATCCGCAAACCAACCAATTTCTCTCTGACAGCCCAAATGTTCTTTATTTAGTCAAAATTATGTAATAAAGTTAATTTCCAATAAGATGCCCCAGAAACATACTTATGAAAAGAACCCCTACTCCATTAAAGTATGAAAATTGGTTTCTGTGAAATCTCACAGAAAATCAAGTGGTTTGAATAACACAGTAGTTTACAAATTTACAAAAATGTATTAGACCTGGTCATTTATTCCAGGGGATAGAAAACTACCATCTTTGGTTGGGAAAGATACAGAGAAGATATGCAACCAAATATACGGATCGAGGGAGGAAACAAGATACGACAAACCTCAGAAAAAGAAGGAACCTACTTAATTAGGATATGACCTACAACCAGTGTGAATGTCAGAATTTCAATAAAATTACCTCAATGCCCTCTGCACACGAAGTTAACTAGTTAAGAAACTCCATACTTAATTTGATTTACCCCTGAAGAGCAAAGTTAATGGTCAACCACCCCACCCAACCGCCCTTGGCATCATGACATGAGAAGCACCTTTTCAGGACTACGGAAATCCTTTCAAGGGTGTCCCGCCATGATCTCATTCTTTACGATCAAAATACCCTTATTAACATCTTCTAAGTTCCCATCCGGCTTTTCCCCTTTTGAAATGAATTGACCACAATGCCCTTTCCAATACTAACAAGTGTCGGTGGCCCGACATCACCTATGTTCTTTCATCTTCCTTCTATACGACATATTGCCTGTTAAAATATTTGATAACCTATACTGAGCTAATGAGGAGACAACTTAGACAAGTTCACGTCCACGCATACACAGAAGCTGACAAATTCAGCACCTGTTTTTGATAACAATTCAATGTTTGTCAATGAAATTCAAGTGGGGTAGTTAGGATGAACCTGATCATATTTCACTACAAGACATCCACAAGTAGGTGATCATCCCCCACCAATTAATTTTACCAATATTATGTTCTAAACCTCACCCCATCACCAACATTTCCCAAGAGAACAGCAAAATAATTAAATTATAAACCTAAAAATAGGAAGAGTTCATTCCGGCAAACAAACTTTCCTAGTAGCTAAAGAAATTACTGAATAGGAAAAAGAATTTAAAAATGTTATTCTGTCATGTACGTCGACATAAATGCTTGTGTGATCTGATTAAATGGAGCTATTAAAAAATGGGATTAGTTTGGCAATGCAATGTCAGGCATGTTTGATTTATTAAGAGTGAAAACAAAAACACCTGAATAGTGTTGTATTGGCTTCATTATTTTAATTAAGATGCCTTCCCTCTGGTAATTTATACAGCGGGTCCCCTAAAACGCTTTCGTTGAAAGGATGTTTAAAAATTATTGAGGTAAACACAAAACAAAACAACAAAGAGTGGTTACCTTTTTCTTTAGGTTGATTCTTTGTAGTGTTGGCCATGGCCTAAGTCGCTTTTGGGGTAGCTTGCTTGAAAGCAACAGTGGGAGCTATTCTGCAGCTCCTCCTCTGATGCTCCTGGACAAGTTCTCCTGCAAACCAGTCAAGTTTCTCGAAGTTACTCTGCTCCCCAATTCTCTTTCCTCCAAACAACACTGACTCTACATTCTCTTGCTTCAACATCTCCTCTGCTATTCCAACCAGCATCTTTACGTTGCCGGGACTTGAATCTGTATCCACATTGGGTCCACAACGCCCCATACTCGACCCATTTGCCTGTCATACAAGAATCCCTCAGAACATCCATCATGTAAAACTGAAATATACCCTGCTAAATATTACACTCATCTCTATATCATGGACGGTGTCAGTAAGATTTGAATGCTAGCCAGCATCATACACTCAAACAAAAAGGACAGAATGAACGACCATAAAGGAAATTGAACGACGAGATACACACATTAATTACAATAAAATAAAAACTTTTGGCGATCACAATCCCAACCAATATGGAATGGGCTTTTATTATAGTTATACCTAAGATCAAAAAAGGTTTTCTACTACACACGACACGGTTATATTTAAGGAAGATTCTGAATTGGGCATTGCTTGAATGAATCCAACTCACAAAATGTAATTCAATTATCTAAAATACCAACTTGTATGTGTATGTATCCATTCCATGGTATAACCAAATCCAAGTTGCTCAAGAACGGGAAGGTTTCCTAAACATGGAAAAACAAATCAAAATGGACAAAAAGCACGACATTAATTAACACGCATCCATCAATAGATATCCCATAACAAATCCAAATCCAGCTATGCTACCCCATACGTACTCATCAACTTGCTACATCCAGACAACACACAACAGATCCCCAACGGAAACCCCACACCCCCTACCCTCCGGCTGGTGTGAAATTGACTCCATTTAATACCCCCCTTAACGTTTATGAAGTTCACAAACTCAACCAGTTACCGGAAAAGAGAAAAAAAATTGAAAGCCATTGACAGTTTCCTTTCTCCATTTATTCAAAGCGTAGTTGTGACATTCTGACAATTGACAATTTGACTAACCACAAAATTGAGTAACTGACCCCACCAAAAAAATAAAAATAAAAATAAAAATAAAAATACCTGAATGCGGGCGTAATTGGTGCTGCGGTTATGACCAAAGGCCATGGCGACGGCCTGGTCGACGAGGTCGGAGGAGCCGTCGCCAGAAATGCGGGCCATGGGCCGGGCCCAATCCTTGGCCTTCCATCTTTTGACGCGGTCAAAGTCGTAACTCACCTCCAAGAGTTGACCTGTTCCGAGGGACAGAACCAGAAGGTCCTCCACGCCTCGCACGAACGGAAACTCTTGCTTGTTGTGCAGCACGTGCGTGATTGCTGCGCCCGTTGGGTTACTCATCGCCAACCCTCCGTCCACTGCTACGCACTTTGTCTGACCGTCTACGGACCGCATCTGAACCGGTTCGAACAAACCCGGTTCGGCCGAAGTTGCTCGACACACCTCCCATAACCGGAAGTCGAAGCTATCCGTTTCCAACGCGTCCGCACGTGAGAACAAAAACGGCGCCGTACTCGATAAGTCGTAGCACGGAATCAAAACCGGTTTCAGCGTGTCCTTCAGCGTCAAACTCCCACCCTTCTCCGCCGTGAACGCTTCCTTCACAGCCTTCTCCAAACCGGCCGTCGCCGTCGCCACCGAACCGGACCCGCCGGAAAGCAACCTCTTCAGGAACCCCCCGCCGCCGCCGCCCGCGCGGTAGAACTTGTTTCCTTTCTCTGCGAGAAACCGCCAAGTGTCGTCGGCGGCGAAAATCGGCCTCCGGTGGTCCTTAGTCGCGAAGAGCATCGCTGTAAAGATGCCACCTACGCCGGCGCCGGCGGCCACGTCGAAGTAGTCCGCGATGGTGGCGTTCTGGTCGCCCGATTTCTTCTTCAGAGCGGCTTCCAAGTAAGCGAGGGCTTTTCCGGGGAGAATCCCGCGCATGCCGCCGCCGTCGATGGCGAGAATGCATATCTTGCCGCGCTGGTTCTTGACGGCGGAGACGTCGTCTGCGGCGGTGACGTTCGCCGGGGTTTGAGATTCCGGCTTGGGGGGTATTTGTTTGGGGAACCAGAGCTTCGGATCGTCGTAGCCGAAGAGGAACTTGCTTTCGAGGATGGAGAAGATTTCGTAGCTTAGCTTATCCGTCTCAATGCTCGGTTCTTGCATTTCCAACTCATTAGTACAGTCCATTTTTCCTTCAAAAATTTGCAGGAATTTTTTTCTGGAAATTTTTAATGAAACAACGCAACTCTTTTTCTTTTGTTTTCTCTCTCAAACCAACACAGGGAGGTTCGCTGGCATGGTGCTTAAAACATCTTGCCAGTCTATTGCATGCAATTTAATCTGCTTGTCGAAAAAAATTCACCCGGAACTTGTGAATAAAGAGGAAAAAAAAAAAATGATGAAAACGAATTGTACTTTAGGAGGGGGTTGTGTTGTGAAGATTCAAGCAACGAATTAGAACATTCCAAAACGCATACCTCATTTGACAAGAATGGTGAACCAACCAAGATGACAATTCGAAAACAACATTATCATTTCGCAATCGCTCTTCGTGTGTTCCTTCTCCAATCACCCCTACCGCAAATTATATTATTTGTCTGAGCACTAAAAATTGCAAGACTCGCTATCAGTCTGAATCTGAAACTGAAACTGGAAGTGAGAGTAATGATTCCGTGGTACAAAAGTAGGGGTTTGGTCTCTAAAGCGTAAAGGGGTTCCTTCTTTCTTAGTGTATGAGCAGCAGGTGCAGTGGGGTGTGCGTTTCTCTGGGTTTCTTTTGCCCAAAGTAGCTAAGCTAGCTCCTCTATGTAAACATCAAATGGAACCAACAAACCAACCAACCAACAAGCACCGAACAAAAACCAGAAAATGCCAAATCACCACAGCTGCACCACCATATCTATATCTATATCTGTATACTCCCACACATATATATACCCATTCATCCTTTTACTTTAAAAAAAAAATAAAAAATTACCGCTACAACAATTCACTGTTGGCCAGGCTTCTTCACTTTAGCCTTTCTGGTGACGGAAAAAACAAATATAAATAATAAGAAACGAGTAAGAGAGAGACGGTAATGTTTTCGTTTGTGGCCTCCTCATCTCAACTGCAGAGAATTAGAAAAGTGGGACAGGCGATGGGTCCCACAAAAGGAATTGTGTTGGAGCAATTGAGCGTCATCACCAATGAGCCACCGACACTTGTACACCGTCAATCTTGGTGCTCGCCATCCATGGCTCAGATCGCACCAACACTGTTGCTCCGTGATCAACGTTGCAATTCCCCAATTTCTAACGTGTACACTTTACATTCGTTCTATTGTGCAGCAGTGACCATATAACGTTTATCTTATTAATTAAAAAGTTAATGATGCACCGAATCCACTCTGGTAATTTTGCATTAAATGAGAAATTAAGTAAAGATAAGTGTGTAAATGTAGAATAATGGACGAATTGTGGCTGTGGGAGTGGGAATTGATTTGGATGAATAATAGTGCAGGTGCAGCACTGCAGTGGTAGTGTATGTGTATGATGAATATTGGTGGTGTTACCAAATGGTTGTTTTTCTATTAGTTGCATTGTTTGGGTTTGGGAATGGAAAACATTCATTGGGTTGGGGGCATTGCCCTTGCTAAGGGACGTGGGGACCACTCCGTTTTGTTTTCTCACCATACGGGGAGAGGAGCCGAAGGACATTCGACAAAAGACAGCTGGGACAGGGGACAGTTTCTGGTCATCAGGTGCAAATATTTCACTCCCAAATAATAAATCAAAAACATTTCCTTTTTCTTAATTTCAAAACTAACCCATGCTTTCGCTTCTTTACACATCTTCTTTTCTTCATTTTTTCCATTAATTATATTTCATTGGTTAACAGAGAAAATTATCTTTTAACATCATTTTTTTTTATTCTTATCTTAGACATATTCACTTATTTAGCTCCAATTTTGGTAACATTATTCCTCATATTTCATATTCATTTAGTCACTAAACTGAGTTAAACTATTGTGATGTATGTTTTCCAATTATTTTATATTTTTCAAAACATTGTCATTTTTCATATATATATAATGCTTTTCATTAAATAATTTAAAATATGTAACTTGACTTTCTACTAAAAAAAAGTTTAATTGATGACATGTCCCTGTAAATCACTCAGACTGTAATCTTGTACATCATATTGTCTTAATCAATCTAAGTATACATAACTTTCATGAGAATGATACTATAGTGAAATTTCCACTAATTTTAGGAGTAGTTAGTACAGTAAGACTGGTTTTATTTTGAAAGCATGAAAAAAATGAGATCAATTGACCTTATACATGCTGGTGGAACCATAAATATCAATTAAAGTGCAACCCTAATAACAACGTTACTGTTAGAACTAAACTAACAACGTAAAAATATTCTTAACTCGAAAAAAACCAGAGCCCTCGTAATTGGAGAATGCTCGAACTTTCATTACTCATCCCAAAAACTCATTTCTAAATTACCAGAGATTCTATTTTTAAGCTAAGTGCATTTTTATTTCATTAATCATCCCAAAACTCATTTCTAAATTACCCTAAACATAGGAGTGGGGAAAATAAAAGGTGGTATTGTTAATATAAACTATCTGTTTTTTATATTTAATTCTATATATTTTTATTGAATACGTATTGCCTTAAAATCACAAAGGTGAATCTATAAGAATAAGATTATCTCTAATTTACAAACACCGTTTTAATGAAAATCAATCCCAAGTTACAGTGTTGTTTTCGTACAACGTATAAAGAGGAGAGTTTGCTCTGGTTTTGCCTTGCTTATTTAGGAGTTTATTGAATAACAACTTGATTTAACGTGAGTGAAAACAATAGAATAAAAGCTGTTATTTTCAGATACTTTCAGCTTATAGCCTGTGATGTTAATCCATTTTAGTTTACCTGAAATTACTTCTCTTACAACTTTTTTAAAGTCGTATTTATATATAACTTCGCTCTTAAGTCATTAACTCTTTTAATTAATTGAAGTTTTAAATAATGCCTACCCATTATATAATTTTTTTTTTTTTAATAAAGGTGACTTACGTGTGGATCACCACTTCAAATTGACATATATAATACATGACATACTGCATAGTCGCAAACAAAAGTAAGATTATAAAAATTGGCGTGCAATACGTGGCTCAAATGGTTATGCCTATGTCATAATCGATTAAGGTGTCGTGAAATGCAATACGTAACGGGTACTTCAACAATATTATGTCCCATGTAACTATGTTGTTCTCACCTTTCACCTTTGATATGATCAACCTTTGATATGATCAAATATTTGGAAAGGGTTTTGATTATATATGTGTATGTGTATGCGTATGGGTTTGGATTCACCCTCCCAATTCAATTTAACTCGTGTTTTATCATGAGAGTATCATTAAACATATGTTTTTTGCTAATTTATTAAATGACTTGATGAATTCACCTAAATTGTCTTCAACATGATCTGATTAATCAGATTATAGTTATTCATTAAAATAATAATAATAATAATAATCCTGATTTTGATTCTAACGATCAAACATAAACATAATCTCATACTGATAAACATGTTATAAACTGAATGCGAAAGCGTACCTGAATTAGTCATAACGATGATGTCTTTAGTAAAGCACTATATTGATCTTATGGTCTTCCACCTGAAGAAGACCTCGTATTTCCCTCTTGATTTTCTCTCTTAATGGGGATAGAAAGAAAGAAACGGGATCGATACTTACGTTCTACGTGTGTCTTCAGAAGGGACCACGACCCCTTAAAATAACCAGAATTAGATTAATTACTTAAGTTTTAGTATTTTCAATTTGGCCCCTCATCAAATTAGAAATTGCTCAATGGTCTCTACACAATTTTATTTTCATGACATATGTCTTTAGCCAAAACTTTAATTTAGTCAGATCACTTTATTATTTGGCTTAATAAATAATGGCCCTAACACATTTTAATTATGTATCATATATATACATGACCCAAATTTTGCCAATAATCTCCCACTGGTCACAAATATATATGTCCTTACAACCTTACAAATGTGTTAGACTTTATGAGCTCAAAATTGTCATTATATTCTTTTAGCATACTTCAAAAGTCCTGTCCATTAATCATATCAGGATATAGAACCAAACCAGCTTTTCATTGCATCATCGCAACTAAAACCAACAATGATTACTCATCCTAACATAACCAAATGACATGGATTCATCATGAAATGTGTAGCATGAAAAATTACGTGAAGGTGATCTGTACACGTCTATTTTCAACTAGTCCAAACTTTAACTTATCGAGATCGATATAATATCCTTACTGTACAAAGTGTAATGAATGAACGAAAAAACCGCATATTTATAGATAACCAAATATGTCCAAAAATCAATGTATACATATATGAAATTAAACATAGAACATAAAATATATGAAAGTGACTAACTCTCACTAAACCACAAATTCCTCAAACTGTAAAACACTCATGTGAGCAACATGCTCATGAAAGACCTTGGGCGGAAGTCCTTTAGTTAGAGGATATGCTATCATGGAGTTTGTCCTTAAGTGTTCTATGAAAATCTGTCCACTTTGTACTCTTTCCTTAACAATATAGCTGATTTATTGTCACAATATAACTTAAGTGGTCTTTCAATGCCTTTCACAATTTGCAGCCCTGTGATAAAATTTCTCAGTCATATTCCATGATTTGATGCCTCATAGCATGTTACAAATTCTTGACATCCTAAAAAATCTGAGTCAGAAAACCCAGCGATCTCCAACTAGTTTGACCTCCTATATGTGAGCATATAATATTTTGTTCTCTTTAAATATCTTATGACCCTTTTTGCTGCTTTTCAATGGTCTATTCATGGATTGCTTAAATATCTGCCTAGAACCCCAACTATATATGCTATGTCTGGATGCGTACATACTTAGCCATAGATCAAACTCCCTACAACTGATGCATAGGGAATCTTTTGCGTTTCCTCAATTTCCAAATTCCCTTTGGGCACTGATTGAGACTAAACTTGTCTCCCTTTAAACTTGTGATACATACAATCATCAACAATATTCATCTTGAAGCCAAATGAGTTTCATACCTTCTGGTAATGGGACAAGTTCCCAATAACCTTATTGTCTTGCATGGACTTATAATTATCCTATTGCTTCAATCCACTTTTGAGAGTTAGAACCTTGTATAACTTGACGGAAGTTAACTGAGTCATCTTCCATTATATCATTATTTTCCTCATGTTCCTGAAGAAATACCATGTAATCATCCGAAATAGCACTTTTTCTTTCTCTAGTGGATCTCTGCAAAGTTATTAGCTCATGATGCACAGGTTCTTGAGGATTTTGAGTTTGTTCTTCATGAACAACCAAATCATCTTGAGTAAGGGGTTTATCAATAATGCATTGTGGAGGTTCCGAACTTACTTTATCAAAAGTAATTATTTGAATCAGTTCTGAAATTGTTACCGATTCCTCCTCCAAGATGAAGTTCTTAATCTTATTCTTCCCCCCAAACTCAATATCCTCAAAGAACTTAGCAGTTCCCATCTCAAAAATTGTCTTTAATGTGGGATCATAAAATTTATATCCCCTGGATCTTTTAGCATAACCAATAATATAATTACTTACTGTTCGGGAGTCCAATTTTTTTTCATTTGACTTATAAGGTCTTGCCTCAGCTGGACAATCCCACACATGGAAATGCTTCAGACTAAGTTGTCGCTCAATTCAAAGCTCATAAGGTGTTTTGGTATCTGCTTTAGTTGGTACTCTGTTTAGAATATAAGTTGTCGTATTTAGTGTTTCTCCCCAAAGTTATTCCAGTAAGGTGGAATGACAAATCATACTCTCTACCATATCTTTAAGAGTGTAACACAAGCTCAAACGTCACGATTTGATTGTGACCTGAGCACTTGTGTCATAATGCACCTGAATGAGTATTTTCAATTTTCCGTTTAGTACGACGTGATTCTGTATTAAGGGTTTCATTATAGGTGGCCACAATATCAAGTAAATACTAATTATCATAAATCAAAAGTGAACCAGTTCCAACAATATCTGAATTAAAAGACAAACTGAACTTATTGTTTCCAAATGAACACAAATAACATAATTTGTCCAAATAAGAAACTGAAACTAAATTTCATCTAAATGACGGCACAACAAAAGTGTCTTTCAAATCCAAATAAAAAAACTAGTACTCAATAACAATTTAAAATGTCTTATAGCTTCCACCTCTACCGATTCGACATCTCCAACATAAATCCATCTTTCAGAATCAATTGGCTTCCGGTAGTTTAGGCAACCCTTTCTTTTCACGCCAAACATGATATTTATCACATTTCTTCTTTATGTGTCCAGTCTTATTGCAAAAGAAACATTTGTTTTCTTGAGTTTGTTTCTTTTGTTCTGGACCCTTAGCAGCCTCTTTCTCGAGATCCTCTGATCTCTTTCTTTTGACCTTAGCCGTGGAGGTGCTTGCAAAATGAGCACTTTCTGTCTTGTCTTGCTTTAGTCTTTTCTCTTCTTGTACGCAATGTGAAATGAGCTCATTAAGAGATCATTTATCCTTCTGACAGTTGTAAGATACGTTAAATTGATTAAACGTTGCAGGAAGAGAAATCAACACCAAATGAATGAGCAAGTCTTCTGAGAGTTCAAGCTTTAGTACCTTGAGTTTAAAAACAATATTAGACATGTTCATAATGTACTCTATGATATTTCCTTTGCCTTGATATTTCA